CCTTCGCTATAATTCCTTATTGCCTTCAGGTTGGGTACCATGTCAGATTCGAGAAGGAGACGTCCGAGGAAACGGAAATTGTTTTCTTGACTGATGGTATTTTACTACGAGAAGCCATTCATGATCCTTTGCTGAGAGAATCGCGAGTACTAATTTACTCGCGATGAAGCTCATGAGCGTAGTCTTCATACTGATATTTTATTGAGTAAGACTTCTAAGCTGTATTCTTCTTGTGCGGTTTCGCCTTTTTCTTCTTCTGTTTGTTGAATTGTCTAGTGACTGAATTAGGAGATGTTACTTCCAGCGTAGTGCGGTTGTGCCCAGAGCTCGGCAACGTAAAGAATCAGGCATGCTTCCCCTTCGTATAGTCATAATGTCCGCTACGCTCGAAGCTAAACTCTTCTCTAGTTACTTCAATGATGCTCCCGTTTTTGTTATCAAAGGTCGAGCTTTCCCTGTCGAGGTTCGCTTGATTTGCCATATTCATTGAAGAACTAACGTAGCAGTCCGTAAAAAAACTTTTTTTCCAGGTATTTCACGCTGAGCTCAATCCCGAGAATGCAGACTACGTCTTCAATGCTCTCGTTTGCATCAAAGACTTACATCAAGAAGAACCTATAAGGTAGCTTATCTCAGTTAGGTGTGACAGTGGTCCGAAAATTCCTAATGATTTGTACGATTTTCAATAATGTTCTGCACTTCGGTTACTTTTTTTGCCAGTGACTCCTACTCTCGCTGTTTTATTTTAGTGATCACTTTCTTGTCTTCTTGACTGGTCGTGAAGAGATCATGTGTGCAGTAAGAAAACTGAAAGAGCTGAGTGAGCACTTCACCTCTCCAATCTATCCTGTTCCCCTGTTTGCAGCAATGAGCAGTGTTGCTCAAATGAAGGCATTCGATCCGCCACCGGAGGTTCGTTCGTTCTGAATAGTGTTGTTTATTCCCTATTCTATGTTCAGTAGAATGCCGTTATTCTTTTCATTTTTTGCTTGAATTACAAGGGTGTAGCAGTTTTATTTTGGCATTGTATTTATTAGAACTTCTACTGTATCGCTGCATCTCGAAGGTCGTGAAATTCTACGGCGCTGTTATGGTTATAGTGGCCTTCGCTGGGGCAGGGGAAGTGGCATTTCCAGAATTTCTTCCGACAAACTGGGCAGCTTTGTCAATTACTCTAATGTCTTGAAAGGTCACGGTCGCAGATCCAGTTTCTTTGCCCCCTTTTCTCCTTTTTTGTTTTAAAGGCATATGGCACAATAATTTAGTGCTCGGTCTAAAGTGCTAGCAGGGTGCTATGTAGTGGAAAAAAACGAAGTGAAACGGTCAAAAACCTGCGAAGAAAAGCCTTCGTTCTTCATGACTCAGAAGCATTTCGGACGAGTTTTCCGTAGGCATCGTGCCAATAACCGCTACGGTAGATACGGCTGCACGTATGTACTCATATATCCATGCAGCAGTGCAGCCGCTTCATGTCAGTCCATTCGCTTCATATTTTACTTCGCAAATGAAGCAATACGAGCATCAGGTATGGTCGTCCATTTGTGGGCGGGCGGGCGCGGTGGGCGTCCGGGTCGATATGTTGCAGCTTGATAGGGCGTTATAAGGGCTTCTCTGGAAAAGCGCTATGCAACAACTGCTCAGGGGCGCGGAATTCGGTGCTGCCGGGCAAATTGATCCTACTCGTCTTGGGGACTTATCGTGCCAACTGCCTTTAATCACACGGTGCTGAAATATGAGAAGAACACTTGTAAGAAGAATAAGAATTTTTCGTAAATTCAGAGAAGAGAGCTCTGTGGCGGATGAGCCTGTCACCGCTTGCAAACATAGTTTTCACTTCAAAAGAAGTGTTCGCCCATTTCGCCGTGTAGGTTCTCAACTCTATGCGCGCGCAGGTTTCATAGTTTGCCGGTAACTTATATAAGGTCTGTCTCGGAGTACGAACGCCCATACCGGAGGCCATTTACCACAGCTCATTGTATAAGCCACATCGTTTGAATGTTCACAATTCGTGGAATGGATTTAAATTTGTGACGCATCCCATTTGGCTGACTGTCGGAAGTCACGTATATTCCACATTGTATTTAGTAAACCACAGCCATTCTAAACGGGAGCGGAATGCGTGCCGCATAACATAATGGGATCTATCAACGGTGTAGACAGTTCTCTTTTTTAAGGTCTCCCTTCTGACAGCCCTGCAAACAAGAAATGAATTCGTGTCTTTTCTAGCCTTACTGCAGCTTGAATGTTAAGGAGGTATTGGTGTGCTGGCAGAAGTTAACAAGATGCTGCCCCTCCCGCCCCTGTTACGTAGTGGCGCCTTAGGACTGTTTTAAAATATTTCGTTGGCGGGTTAAACAGCAGCACATGAATGATTTTTTAGTGAAGTGTTTGAGTTGCGCTAATTATTTTCTGTGCACTATTCAGGGTCATCGAAAAGTCGTGTTGGCCACCAATATTGCAGAAACATCGCTTACCATCCCAGGAATACGTGTAGTTATTGATTCGGGAAAAGTCAAAACAAGGTAAGATCTCACCCACTGGTATCTAAGTACGTATTCACGTTCTTATTTTGATCATTTTCACACTTCCACTTCCAAGTGGCCATCGTTGCAGTCTTGGTAACAGCGACTATATCGCTATAAGTTCATGATTTAGGGCGTAACAGGTGTACTGGCACGTGGCATTGCTTGTGGTTGTCCCCGTAGCGTAAATTCTGTCTTACCGTGCTCGCCTGTCTGTGTGCCACGCGGGTTCTAAACTAGACGGTTCAGACAAAAGTGCCACTAATCTTTATTATGTACAGATCTACAGCGAACACCACAATCTTCCACGTACTCGTCCTTTATTGGGGCAGTACCAGATTGACGAGTCTTCCGTTGCTGACAATCGAAGTAGGGGTCCAATCTTGAGACGAGGGACGATGACGAATGGGGATCCGAGGTTGAGCAGAGGCACGATGACGAGGAATCCTTAGCTTGGGCGATTGCCGTGCCAGAGGAGGGCAGGAAGGAAGGAAGGGCCTCCACCCTCGGTCGTGGCTCTTTTATACAGTAACAAACGTCAGCGTCATAGGCTAGAAATGTAACCATATCCCTGCAAGCATTCAAGATCAGCCTATAGATAAAGAAATGGAGAAAGTGATATTGATTGGTTGCGAAAAGCAGAAAATAAATCAAGTAAATAAACTT